GAGTAGCCAAACGAAGAAAACCGACGGGACAGCCAGAACCGACACGCTGACGAGCAATACCTTGCTGGTTTATCCGAAGAATTTGCTCGACTGGTCAGCGAATTAGGGATTGGCGTGGCTGACAGATCAAGAGCGACAATCCGCAGACAACTTATGCGGCCAAAAGACGCAGTACCCGTTAAGTAAAATTTCGGTGTCATTTACCGTATAGAATGTCTTTGTGGTCAAGCCAATTATGTTGGTGAAACCGGAAAACTGGTTCTCACAAGGATGCACCAGCACGAACTCGCCGTGCGACGGAAAGACAAGCTTTCTCTGGTAGCCGCCCACGCATCCACGCCAGGGTACGGCTTCGACTTCGAACGCGTGCGAATGCTAGGTTACGACTGCTGCAGGAAGCATGGCATTCACCCGTGGATTCAATTAACAGGCATATCGATCTTCCTGATGTCTACCTCACGTCGTGCGAACGGATTGAGGGCAAGGGTCAAGGGCAAGGTCACTCCTGGCAGAAATGTGTTAAATACGCACTGAGCTGTACATTTTTTATTCCTTGGCAATGGGCTCACGTGTGAGTTCGAAACGTCGGACGAAGAAACCAGTGGTCCTGGGGAACGGTTTACCCTCTTCTAACAGAAGCAATGCGCACCCTACGCCTCAATCCCCCTTTTCTGCGACTGACTCTGATGTTGGATTCGAACGAGAATCCGAATACTTTTTGTTCCAGTGATCGTAATTGGTATTTTTTGTGGGGACGGTGCAGGTGGCTAGCAGTCATGCTGACAGGGAACAAATTTGCCGAAAAATTATCTTTCCAGGAACCGACCACTGTGGGTTGCTTTGACTGCTTATTCGTTTTTGAGCCATCGCTCTAGTGGACTGCGTTTCCGCTTAATCTCTCATGCAAATTTATGAATAGCTCCTGCATCAACTGTTAGCACCTGCCGAAATTACAAGAAAGACAACAACAAAAGCACAACTAGTTTAGCTTAGCTAGTCTCAAAGGGTAAGAGTCGTTCTAACGCGTTTTAATCCTTTGAAGTAGACATTAATCCACCAATTTTGATGTGTCCGGGCTCGTTGTCTTGCCGGCTCCCGATCGAAACCAGCAAGGCAACGAGCCCAAGGGCGTAGCTATTATGGTGTTGGACTTCTGTCCAGCAAGGTCACAGATTCAAAACTCATGGTCGCTATCCCTAGGGTTAGATATGGCTGGCTGATGACGACTAACAAGCCAGAAGTGGCCATTTCAGTTTCTCTTGTCTTTGTCGGCAATGCTTTTTTGCACAAATATAGATTTGTGATGATAATATGGTTATTTGCTTACTATATCTGATTCATATTCTTCTACCAACGCAAAGTACTTAAGTATGTGAGCAATTCCTGTATTAAAGCATCACAGCCCTGAAGCCAAAGGCCAAGAAACCTAGTCCTGTTATCATGGACCATATTCTCACCAATGTTGTCTTCCCTCTCATCTCCGTCTTCCTCGGATGGCCGTTTATGTCTGGAGTACCCGTACGAACCATTGCAAATACAATGGCCCTCGTCAAGCTGGAACCGCACCCTCCACCAGGAAAGCCAGCACAGTAAATTCATTCCGACTGATTGTTCATTGTTTACCTGCGAATAAGTTCTTCTGAGGAATGCGGCAAATTATGAAATATTTTTGCTTGTGGTTTAAAGCTGTCAGAACTTGCAGACAATATAAACTGAACTACTTTAAAGTGATTTAAGACATTACTAGGCATCTCTTTATCGATCACATTTTCACCCTTTCCTCCACACACACCAGGTGATTGCCCAAGGAGGTCAGACAGAGATTGGCGTGGTGTCTCCCTTCACCTTATGCACAGCCAGACGAAGCATATCCTGTGCCGAAATGATCTTATTGATAGCTTGACAAGACAGAGTGTTGCGAGGACGATGACTTGCGCGTGAATTAGGTTTAAATGGTAGTAAACTTGCAAAACATCTACCGCACTCTGTATTCCCTCAACCACATGTGTCCGATGTCAAAACGGAGTCAAGAAGACCGGAGGCGGGATAGGCGCCAGTAGCTAGCGCCGCCGAAGCCGCCCCTATGCGTGTCACCTCTGATCTTTGGTATTTGTCGTCGGCGCGCAACTTGAATAACGCCTGCCGTGCCCTCATTTGCCCCCGTGTTGGTCCAGCACATCTGTCAGGC